GCTAGATATAAGAGACTGATACGGCAAATGAGCTAATAAAAGTCAAAATGATAATATCTGGTATAAGGCTTCAATACAACCAGCGCTTATATTAATTCCGTTTGACACTCGGTGTAAAGAAATTGTAGCCGTGGTTCCAACAAGTCCTTTTCTATGTTTATTTGTCATTTTTTTAATTTGAGTTTCTAGATAAGTTCTTGTTGTTTCACGAAGCTTCAGAAAGAACATATTTTCTTCATGCATGAATAATAACAAGTGTTCAAAAAATATCAAGGTCCCAAGGAAAGACTGAAACATGCGAGCCAATAAGGACAATGTCCAATCAGAACCTCGATGCCTTTCCGTTCTTACCTTATAAATCTTAAGAATCGAAACCTCAACTAGCCTGGATTAGAGGAAGACATCTTCTATGTCCTTAAGTGTGAAAAAAAATTAAAATCAAACGATAAAAGCATCTTTAACCACATAATCCTGATCCAAAAGCTATGGGTAACTTGTTATAAATAAAAACGTCCTAAGACTAATACTAGTAATACAATCTTAATTGAGATGATATTCCATCCAATATTATATATCAGCAAGACCGCCAAAATGACGAAGAGGCAGCAAACTTACAAATGGAATTCTTGAAGAGCTAAACACCAGGAGGTATGCCACCTCATGGGCTTAACTTGAAAGTGTGTGCTTTAGTTACTTTACGAAAACATGACTGAATATATGTCATTGCAAAGACACCTAAGTTGTCACAAAGCACATGCTTTCAAAATTCACTGACTTTGAAATCCTATCTTATAAAAGTACAAACGTATTTTTTCAAGAGGTTTCATTCAGGCATTGAGTCTTGAATTTCTTTTACAATGAGGCACAAACAATTTCATGTATGCCTCCTTTTTTACGGCAATCATTGAAAGGCCATGGAAAAACTTTGAATTCAATTTTTTTTTTCTTTTACCATCTCCAGCATTCAGTCACTGACAACTTTATATTGCATTTTCAAGAAATTAATACTTGAAGCAAAAAAATTAACATAACCTGACTAACAACGAAAACTCAAAGTAAGACCACTTATTTAACACAAAAATTTAGTCACAAAAATTGATTTCATATTATTGAGGACGTACATTATTATAGTGTTGACCATTAATACGTATTTCAAACTAATTATATTTCGTAAAAATGCATATAATTGATGCATTTTTGAAACGTTACATTTATGATGATTTTGGTTACGCACAATGGAAAGGAGCTAACGTGGTCTTATCATCATGCCTCCATTTTTATCGCATGTATCTGAATTCAGAATTACATTTGGAGATTACCTTTGAAAAAAGAGTCACCTTCGCTACATAAAACCTATTGAAGCAACACCTGTATGCTCTTCATCACAACATACATCCTTTAATGACCTTATTTCCTTATTCTAAACTACTTTTTCGTCTTTGTCGTATTTTCAAGATTTAGAATGACTTTTGCAGCATGGCCTTGAGTTGATCTATTGTTTTCGATAGTAATATCCGAAAACTGTATCTTTGGTCAGCAAATGAAATGTTTAAAATTATCACTCAAATAGGTCTCGTACGAGTGACAATGGTTAAACTGCCAAACTTTATCTAACATATCATCTCCACATTAATAGCCAAACATAAATTATTTAACTGCTCTTCCCTTCTTTCTTTCTGAAATCCAAAATTCCACAAACTCGCCTCTTATTTTGTTGATGCGAGTTACAAATATACTAGTTTGCCTTGCTCGTAGACACTTCCTTGCTTGCCCTTACTACTTTGTTAGTAATGGCAAGTTTAAAAAATAGTATTTTATAAATTCAAGGGTTGTTAACAATACTAAAAAAAATTATTGGCAATACCAATACCAATACTGCCTGTAAAATCTATTGGCAATACCAATACCAATACAATTTTAAAACCAGTATTGCAATACCAATACCAATATTTATTTATTATTGCCTTACCAATACCAATATTTGGGTAATTCGACGAATAAAACGCAAATACGTAATTCATCGCTCTATATCACTTACATCGATAAACGATAACAACATTTTGGGCTAATTTAGACAATGTATTTTTAACCAAATTTTGTTCAATAGTTAACACTTGCTTCATCAGTTTTCCTCAAAGCATTCAAAAGTCTTTGACAACATATTAAATAAGTCGGCATACCTTAACGTCCTTAAGCAACAAGATTTTTAATATGTATACTGTACACATATTGTGAATGAATGAATGGATGGATGGATGAAGGAATGGATGAATGAAGCAAATGACTGTCATAGAAAAGCAAATGATACATAAACGGCTAAACATCATACTATAGTAAAAACAGTCAGACCGAGTCAGTGGATTGCATCACATCTGGAAAACTAACGATGAACGATGAATTTTAGTAGAGTTCACAGGGTAACGCCACCTATTTGTCCGTTACCACTTAGCCAGGCGAAGAAAAGTACATTTGGAAAGGCATTCACCAATTTGTCAGTAATCTGCATCTCTCCAGCATTTTTGTCACAGATATTTGGCCACATAATTGAGAAAAAGTAATAAATAATAATCTCATGAATATTAATTTGGGCGAAGTTAATTTTCATGAATATTAACATCGGCAGATAAAGCAGTTTTACCGTTATTATTAATTAAATTTTAGTTTAAAATTTAAATTCATGAGTTATATCTAAAACCTGTCTACATTGGCATTGGATGAAATAAAACATTAACTTGACTCACTTTCAAGCAAGAAATTCTGTAAAAGTAAATCGGAAAGAAAATATTGACCAAAGAAAAAAATGGCACCAAGATCTTGAAAGTATTACCTATCAGTCCATAATATGCGCAATCATTGAAAAGTTATGAACGAAATAAAACGACGCATTCACGCTACAAAAATAATTCTAACTAATTACAACAAATTTAATATTATATAAATTTAAAAAAAAATTGTTCTTTGTTTGGCCTTATTTTTGTTTGTAGGCCCTAGGCACGGTGCCTAAAGTGTCTAAGCCTTAATCGAGCCTTGGTAAGTCACTGGTCAATGCTCATTGCCAAAGATATCATATATGATTTGATTTCTATTATCATTCATTTCATTGATCAGTCTCATTCAAAAATTGTTTGGCAATGTCACTCGCAAGATGGCGACACCAAAGAAAAATTTATTATATTCAGCTTTATTCACAACCAATGTTATAGAGAATTTATTGAATATTGCTTTTAGTATTGGTTAAAAATCAATACCAATATCAAAAATAATTATTGGCAATACCAATCAAATTTCAAGAAGTATTGCAATATCGCCCCAATACTTAAAAAAGTATTGGCAATACTACCAATACCAATACAATATTGCAATATTAACAACCCTGTATATCAATGATATCCAGAACCAAAGCAACACCGTTCCAATCATTAAATTTGCTGATACCAACATCGTGGGCTTCATATCTGAAGAGAAAAACTTATACTACAATTTTATTTAGTTGCAAGCTGTATCAGTTGTTGCGATTAAAAATTTATTCCGTTGTATGTCTAAAATACAAAAAAAAATGTTTCTCGATTTCCTGAGGGGGGAATCACCCAATGGCAGATCTGACAATTTAAAAAATTACAGTCTAGACCAAGTAGAGACTTACAAGTGACCATGTGTTACCGTTTTAATAAGCTAACATGGCATGAACACGGAAAAAAAAAAAGACTGCCATCTAAGAAATTGTAAAATTTTGGCGCAAACAATCAAATTAACTTATTCTACAAAGCTGAGCTGCGTGACCGCTTTTTTTTTTTCCACTCACTACTATTAATATAAAACATGTGGAGTTAGGGGAGGTTGGGACGGGGTATTTGAAGAGGAAGCAGTGCGGACGGGAAGCATATAAGAGATGTCTTGTGTTTATATTGCTCTTATTGTAAAATTTTGTTTTTGTTAGTATATGTATTTATTTATGTGCAGAAATTGAATATGTGTAATATAATATGTAAAATTTTATACATTCCCATTTATTGGAAGGAGCCAAAGAGTCTTACCTTAATTTTAAAAGTCAAATTTGATCTAGCCCCTGTTTCTTGTTTTTTTTTAAGGGTTTAATCGATTATTATATTACGATTCCCCCCCCCCCCCCCACCCTCTTTCCCCACCAAAACTAAAAAAAAACATTTTTTTTTTTTTTTTAAAAGTCAAATTTGATCTAGCCCCTGTTTCTTGTTTTTTTTTAAGGGTTTAATCGATTATTATATTACGATTCCCCCCCCACCCCCCAAGCTCTTGTCCCCAGCAAACATAAAACAAACTATTTTTTTTTTTACCGATAATAGTATTTTACCACTTATTTTTATTTGTAAAAAAATAATAAATTCAAAGAAAATGTATTCAAACAAATTGGTTAGATGTTAGAATTTTTTATGTTACCTCCCTGAGAGATTTAATGACGGAAAAAAGGGGAGGGGGGATAAACGTAGTTACCGGTAACTAATAAAAATAAATGAAAATCATTTTCATATTTAGAATAAACTTAACGGGAGTTATCATTGTCAATGGTTTCTTTATAAAGGGGCCAGGTTGTTAAATATGTAGGCTACTAATGTAATTTAAAAAATGTTGTGATCTCTCTTTACTTTTTTAATTCACTTAATAACAATAATATCAGTAACTATACGGAATAAATTGCTGTGCCGGTTTCAGTTCATGCTAAGGCCAGCATTTAATTCCAAGATATGGTGTAAAACAGAGGTTCCCAAAGTGTGAGCCGTAACAGCTTGTGGAGCCGTTATGTCCTCAACAAAATATTCATATTTTTTTTTCCATTTTCAATTGTGATAATAAGAAATGACAACTGTATTAATTTATTTTAAAATTGAGACTGTTCATCTTCAGTACTAATAAATAAATTTCAAGAAATTCATTAATATATATTAAAAAGTAACAAACATAATAAATAAATAAACCCAAATAGCTCACACAATTACAATTTTTGTTTTATTTGAATAAATATCAGAGATAAACATCAATTTTGTTAACATTTCCATTACAGTTTATTGGGTTGGGGGAGAGATTATGAAATTATAAATAAAGGTTTAATGCTAATTGATTATTTACATTGTATAAAAAATATACACAAATTATTTAGACTAAAGAATATTTTCACAAATGAAGAAATTATAAGCATACAAACTTATTAGTCAAGGCAGATAAACTTTTATGTTATTTTAACATTTAATTTGGATGTTTTTGATACCCAAAGAAATTTTTTAAAATTATTTTAATCTAGAAATCATGAAGGCCATGCCAAACACGATTGTGGCGATACAGATCAAAGGCAATATCATGCGGAGAAGTTTTAAGAAGTGACGTAATGGGCTGAATGCCAGGCAAGTTCAAGTCAGGGTTCTGACTCTGTAGGTCAGAGGTGAAAAATTCCATCAAGTCTGGTGTCTTTTCTGTTTTTGTAGATTTCTGAAGAGAAACAATCAGAATGAATTCACAAATTTTATAGTTGTTCTAAAAATGTAGGTAAAATTGCTGCTTTAAATTTTACAAAGATTTCATATACGGTAATTCACAAAAATTAATCATTCCACTAATCAAGCAGCTAAATTTAACATTGTTCTTTAATTTAGATTTTAAATTATTACCAGGTACATGAATTAATTTTTTTATTGTTAAATGTGCAATAGTCTTACAATTTTTTTCCATTTGATTTGTAAAATTAACTTTTAAAATAACTTTGTTTTCCAAACAATACTTTAGGACAATGAATTATCCAGTTAAATAAAAATAAAGGGCACATATCCCAAACTATCACATACTGTGTCTTTTGGACAGGTCATTTTCTTTGCTTTAGAGGTCCTCATGCGTACAACACGCTGACATAAAGTCTCCACTGAAGCATCAAGGTCAACCAAGTCCCTAAACTGATTAGATGTGCGATTAGTGTAGAGAGCTGCCTGTAGAAAAATGTAGAAATAATTTACTTAAATCCATTATGATACACGATGTGATGATTCTATTTGCAGCTTAAATGTTTTTCAAGAGTTAATTTTTTTTGTTGTTAAGGCTTGTGTAATAAGATTAAACATATATAACACTGATGTAAAACTCAGTAACTTTTATGTTATGATTTTCAGAAATTTCCTTTAAAATTAAAATTGATACAATTATGAACATAAAAGTATGCTTGTAATATTTGAAACAAAATGAAATATTATTTATTGAGATGTAAAATACTCATGTGTATATGCATTGAGATACACATTTGGCTTGTGGGGTATTATAGAATATAACAACTGAAAAACAATTTAGTCAGTACATTTAAAAAGTTGAATGTTTTATTACCTTCTCATTTAATTCTGATCTTTTGACCTCTGAGTTTGAAAGAGTAGCTTCCACTGCCTTCTGAACATCCACTTCCTGCTGGCATAGACTGTTCAGCTCACTGCGGATTTTAATCGTTGAGTTAAACTCTGGCCTGGCAAAGATGTGCTCATACTCCAAGTCCCCACCAACAGCTCCGGCATCAAAAGGAAAAGAGTACTCAGTGGACACAAGATTGTTCTTAGCTTCTCTTATCACATGAAGGGCGGGTGTCGGCGGTTCAGACCGCCATGATGAGGATTTCACAAAATTCTGAGCTGGTTCCAATACCTTGTCCTCCACGGTATCCTGCTTCTTGCGACATTGTTTAGGATTTTTTAAGTTAGTTAAACTATCTAAAGATAGCTCACCGCATTGAAGAGATGTACTACTATCACTTGATAAAACATCTAACTTTGATGTTTTCTTATTCAACTCTGTGGTTCTTGAGAACGGTTTTGAATTTAAATTTTCTAATGATGATGTCTGGTAAAGTTCTATGACCTTTCTTGCACCAGAATCATCATTATTTTGCGCAAAATTTATTTTCAGTGATTCTTTGTTTTTTAAGTCTTTTGGTTTTCTGTTGTCACTGGCACTGGGTAATGAACTAAAGATAGATTCATCTAAAGCAGAATCATCTGAATAGATGTTGGGGTCATAATATTTTTGTGGGCTAAAAGGCTTCCAAACTGGACTGGACGAAGGACTTATTTGAGATCCTTTAAGAGTAATGGGTGACCCCGAGCAAGAGGATGATTCATCAAATGCTTCTTCCCCTGATGATGCAGATGGCAGGTCAAACCTAACAGAATATTTTTCTTTAACTCTAACATTGTTATCTACCACTTCAGTATGATGGTCTGATTTCTCATCAGTTTTATCAACTGAAACAACCCTTTTCACAGAAGTTTTGTCAGGAGTGACAAATAATGAAGGATTGGGCTGAAACTTCATGCCAGGACTCCATGCAACAGGCTGGGGAATCTTACTGATATCATGTGCTTTTAATGTGTCATCTTTGAGATAGTTAGGAGAATCTACACCTTGCCTTGAAGGTTTTTCTGGTGTGATACTTAATGAAGGATGAGGATACAACGTCATGCCTGGACTCCAAGCTAATGGTCTTGGGATTCTGTTTTGAGCCTCGATATGTCCATTATCATCGTGCAATGCCTTAGACAAAGTCATTTCTTTGAGTTCAGTCAACGTTTTAAACTGATTGGTATGTTTCTTCTTTTTCTGAGCTATGAAATGATCATCATTCTCATTTCTATCATCTGCTTGATACTTGGATGTAACACTACCAAACTTGGAGGTAAACTGCTCATACTCAGAAACAGCTGATGTTAAGCCTGGAGATGGCATAGTCACTGGAAGTCCTCATCCAAAGATTCTGCTTCTTTTTACAAACATCTGTAAGAATGTTAAAGTTATTTTGAGTTAAGTTTTATTAACTTTATAATCTTCCAACAAATAATTTAAATATACTGCTTTAATTGCTTCAGAGCAAGGGAGTATTTTTTTAATAAAATTTGAAGTGAAACAGAATGAAAAGAAGTATCAAATGTAAAAAGGAAACAATTCGGCATAGTTTAAATATAGATTTAACAATATTATTGTAAAGCCATTCATTCAATTGCTCTCTAATCTTTTGAAAGCTGTTTATTGCTTTCAGTGGAGTAAATTACAATGGGTTGATTAGGCAAAAATTAGGCCTATAGTTAACTTAATAATAATAATAAGGCTTAGATTGATAAGCATAATATGCAATGGGTATGTCATGACAGCAGATGTGTCAAAAAAAGTAGTACCCAGTGGGTGGGGAGAGGGGGAATTTGGAAGGGGAAACGGAAAGGGAGACAGTGCATTTAAGCTACTTACTGAGATGTGAAAATAAAAATGGGGCACATTACAATTGGCTGAATTGGCCAAGATTAGGCCTATAGTTAACTTATTAATAATAATAATAGCAAGGCTGATGTTGGTAAGCATAATATTCATAGTTAGAGCACAACACCTCCTTCCTCACATAGGTCTTACTTAATTGTGGATAAACATATTAAGCGGCTTCAGAATTTGTTGAGGTTTAATCTATGCTATCCGCTACCACCTGTTTCCCTGCGTTGGTACTACTTTTTTTTCCAACTGCCACCAACTCTGTTAATATGACAGTAGACGTGTTAAAAAAAGTAGTGCCCAACAGGGGGGGGGAAGAAATGAGAGCAGAAAAAGAGACAGTGTGTTTAAGCTACTTACCAAGATGTACAAATAATGAAAATGAGGACAATGGGTATATTTCTTTTTTTAAAAAACATTTTAAAAAATTAGAATTTTTAAAATCTTACTGTGCATAAAAATGATGATATTAAAGAACTTGTAATCCATCCATCCCTGTGGCGCTACAGCCCATGTAGGGCTTTGACCTGCCTCACCACTTCCTTCCACTCAGACCTAACTAATGCCTTTCTTTTCCAAAGAACTTGTAATAGTCAATTTAAAAAAAAAGAAAAATTACTAAATTTAAAATTTAATATAATTTTAAAAACATTAAATTACCTTAAAATTTATAACTTTATAACTAACTTGAATCCTAAATGTCCCTAACGCGACAACTAAAATTGTCTCTCTTCTTTCAGATTTTGGGGAGGGGGGGGGGAGGAGGGGGGGGGCAGTTATCAGTGGCCAGAGAAAGGGGGAAAGAGTGTGACAGACATCCCCATGCACCATACTAGCAAGGACACCAAGGGGTGTGATGTAACTAACTTGAATCCTAAATGTCCCTAACGCGACAACTAAAATTGTCTCTCTTCTTTCAGATTTTGGGGAGGGGGGGGGGGGGGAGGGGGGGGGCAGTTATCAGTGGCCAGAGAAAGGGAGAAAGAGTGTGACAGACATCCCCATGCACCATACTAGCAAGGACACCAAGGGGTGTGATGATATTTAATGCATGAAAAAAAAGTTGCCTTTTTCCAGGGTGGGCGGGTGAAAAAAATAAATGTCCCCTGACGCCAAACACTCTAGCTACAAGTCTTCAAGTGCTGTCACTTTTTCTTTGTATGGAGGGGCAGGATTAGCGGGACATAAATCTTGGCTAGAATAGGGTAGCACTAGCTACTCCACCCGGTAGTGCATCTATCAGCACCAAAAATGATGACCAGCGCTAGCTGTACTGTCATTTTTTTCAGGAAGGACAGAAATTGAGGCTACTGTTGGCTCTTGAGTAAAGTAATCCAACCAGACCCCCCCCCCCCTTTAAAGGGGGGGGGGGGGGTCTGGTTGGATTATTTCAAAATCAAAACGTGCATTTTGGAGTAAACATGAATTCAGTGTTTCTCTTAGACTATATGATCTGGGAAAGGAATTTTTCAATTGTCAGAGGGAGGCATTATGGCATTCAGTGCCATACATAAACTGAATTCACCCAGGCTGTGGAGTGCCCCAGGGTAATCATTTGCCACAAGCATATAGTCAACCAAATACTGTCACAGCGATCAGCGTGGGGCAGGGATGTTCAGAAATTGAGGGTGCTGAAGCCTGTTGGGCTAATTCAAAATGCAGGGCTGCATTTTGGCACAACTTGAATTCGTTGTTTCTTTCTGACAATTATGAGGGGGAATTTCAGACTTTCCAGTGCAAAGCACTAAAATAGCCATTATTAGGAACATCTCTTACTTGCTCCAGCCCAACATGAACTAAATACATTCCAAATTTGGCCTCCTTAAGGATACGCTTTTTGCCCTGGCTTATTATCACCCCTTAAATCTTTATAGTCTATAGAAAACTTTTGATAGCTTCAAATGCAAGAAGGCATTTTAGCACATACCTGAATTTAGTTCTATGAAATTCTACACATAATCAGAGAGCAACAGCGAAGATGCCATTTAAAAAAATTTAGATTCACTTGACCTAAGAGCCAAAATGTGGGCTCTGCAACTCTCACATCTCCAGAGGGATTAGGGTATTTTAGGGGCTTAATGTTGTGATGTGGAGATTTTTTTTAAATTTATCAACTTGAAAGGAATGCGAGTTGGGGAAGTTCAAAACCAAAAAATGGCAGAGGGCCTTGAAATGTCTAGCAGATCTGCTTGACTTGCCTGTGTTATACAAATATTAGTTATTACTGACAATAATCATATTTACACTTCCAGAAAAATGATATTTAGTCTTTAACAACCTTTTAATTGATCCAGCATTATACAATTTAAGTGTAAAAACTTTTTAATTTCTTGATTAAAAAGCTAAAGATATAATAAAATGTTTTTCCTACAATTTTGTGTTATTAAAAATACATTAGGACAAAGGAAAATGTGTTTATAAATATATTTATATTATAATTCATGGGGGTGGGTAGGGTGGTGTTTTAAAATGTTGACATAATTAAATAGGGGGGGGGGGGTCATAGAAATTTTGACAGTTGTTGACAGGTGATGGCAAAAATTGCTTAAAAATTGTTATTGTAATTAATGGACGACCCGTACAATATTTATTATCGAATATTGTAAGCCTCTAACAAGATTAGGTTAAATATACAGATAATCTAATATATTTAGTGTATCAATATTTCATAGGCTTCACTAACTGTAATTGTTTCAAGGCACCAGTTACTTTTTTATTTTTAAATGACAATTTAGAAAAACTGTGCTGTAGTGAGAAAAGCGTAAAATTTAATAAAAGATTAAAAATAATCTTAAAATAATGAAAACCCAAACTTAGTTTCATTTAATACACTTTTAAACACTATTTTACAGGTTCCACCATAAACAAATTACAAAAGATGTCAGAAAAATCAATGCCCATTCCAAAATGCTGGTCTTAGGGACTAAATTTACGGTGTAATTTACGATTGAGTTAGGGATTCTCTCACTTAGCATTCAGGTTACATAAAGTTGTAGAATTTTTTTTTTAATGTCTTTAAATTTGCTTGTTTTAATGCTAATTTTTTCTACTTCGTAGCAGATAGATTTTTGCACTACTTTTTTTTTTAAACAGCTGGCATCTTTCTCGCTGTGACACTTCTGCCATCATAGGAACAAAGATGGCAGCAGAGGTAAAAAAGGAAGCAAAAAGACAGTAAAATCAGTGGTGCAGATTGCGTAAATTTAACTTGTATGTTTATTGTTACATTATTGCAGTTGTAGAATGGACTGCACTTGCACCACCTCATTTTGTGACCCGGTAATTGTACGCTTGATGTTTCCCCCTAATCTACTACAACCACCATGTTTGTAGCCATGGGGGCATGTGTCAGAGCAATCAAGATCGCAGCAGTGTAAAAAAAAAAACAGAAATGCAAACACACAGGTCTGCTAAAATGGGGAAAGAGAGCATGTGCTGTATTACCTACTTACAGAGAGAAGTGAAAATAGAATAAAACGTTAAAATTAAATTTAATGGATGCCCCCTTTCCTGGCATTACTGTATCCCTCTAGATATGCAGGGAGTAGTGTCACTGACCTGTGTCAAGTATGGTAGTTCATTAGTAACTGTTGCAACTGAATATTATGTTCATTAGTTATTGAACGCTCTTCCCGCGCTTGACTCTTTTAGTTAGTGAACACTCTTCTCACTCTTGCCTCTATGACGTATTTTTATGCTGAGTTTGAGTATTGTCTAGACAGTATTGTGACGTAAGTTTTAGTCGTGCGGCAGTCTTGAGTGGAACTTTGTGGAAGTAGGATGTGTATTATTTTATGTCTGATAGCGAGCTGCGCTACATTCATGTGTTTATATGTATTATATACTTAGATATTAAAGTTATAATTATTATGAAAAGGACTTGAGTTTATTCAGTAATAGTAAGAATAGTATGATGTATTCAACGTTTGAAAGAACTTGACGAATTAATCAATCCAGACATAGACTTAGGAGTTGACAACCTGCAGGTGCTCCCTTCCCTCAACTTACACAAGTGACGTAGACGTATACTAATTCCGATAATTCCTCAATAAAATATTAAATTTACAACATTTCATCACAGTATTAATAATTTTTAAAGAAAGAAAAGTTAGCTCTAGTAAAAATCCAAGAATAAATAAAATGGGTCTCATTCATCCCCATCCCATCCTGGTGCTAAACCTCACAAGCAGTACATTGCCCTATTTGAGTATTTAGTCAGCCTTTCACCCTCCCCTATCCTTGTTTTTATTTTTACATACTACACTACTGTTAAAAATAAATAAAAAATTTACTCTGAAGATGTAATTTCGATGATTTGTTGTTACACTTAGTAAGTAGGCCTAGAATTTGATTTGAGTTACTTTCCACTTCAGTTTTGTCTGACGCTGCGTTTTAAATTTTAAGTACGAGGCGACGGGCCAGGACTTGCTTGCCAACGCCAGTTTTTCATTCAATTTATCGTTCTATTTTAATAAATTATTGTATAAGATGAGTTTATGATAAAAATAATCTATACCATTATGTTAATATTAAACAAATTAAATGTACATACAATTTTCTCGCTACTTACAATCGGTACATTTTCCTGAACGATGGGAAAACATTGGATTGATTTGTTTACGCCGCCATAATCATTCAAAACCGGAAGTAATAATAGACATGCGCAAATCAAAATTTTACTTACCTAACATACGTAAAGTCAACAAGATGGCTTGCAAGGCGCTCATGAAATTTTCGCCAGGAACTAAGGCCCTAATTCAACTCATCCAAGTAAGCTATTAAGAATTTATGTACAGGTTTTATTTAATTGATTTTTTTCATCTTTAAGGATTTATTAAAAAGTTTATGTACATTAATTTAGCTCGAGTTTGCTGTCACCTTCAATTAATGAAGGGGTATTTTGTGGCCTTGGCCTTGAAGTTTTGACTTTAACACTTAAGAAAATCTAATCACCATTAATCTTTCAAACAATTTAATTATTTTAAATTTAAAGAAACACAGATGATTTATATTTCCCCAGGGTTGTTTTATGCTAAAAAGTAACATTTCATGTGATCATTACTCATTACATTTTTGCCTGGGTGGAAGGCAGTAGTGAGAAGTAGGCCATAGTTATAGGTAGTATTAGTATTATGAATTATGTCATGTAAAAAATAAGTTGGTGTAACATTTTTGAATTTTTAATATAATTGTTTGTTTTTTAAAAAACAATTGACATGACTACATGATAGTGATACTGATAGGGACAATAATGACAGACTCAGATAGTAATTGATACTAATACTAAATACTAAGACTAAGGTATAGGGGTGTGCCGGAATCCGGTGAAATCCGGTTCCGCCGGATTTACATGTATCCGGAACATCCGGAATATACCGGATTTCGGAATTTGCCAGATTTTGTGACTCACCGGATCATAATCTGAAATAAAAGTAATTCTCTTTCCTGAATTCCACACGATCACGATACATTAATCGATTGTTTCGAGCGTTGAGCTTGTTTAATGTTTAATATTCCGAACATACCAGAGGCTAGAGTCAGCACCGCTAATAGTGGCCAATAGTGTAGGGACTTTGATAAGAAAATTTAAACTTTTTGTAAAAATAAACCAATGGCATAGTTGAAAAGAGGTAATTTTTTAAAGAATTATAACACCAAAATCATATTTTTAGCTGTTGTAGTTTTAAAGTTATGAATTTTTAAAGTACGACTTGGTTTGTCATTTTTTAACATGGACTGCATCTCCACATTCTGTGATCCGTCATGCGCAATGACTATATAGTTTATATAAGGCAACGCATTCCCTGCCTTATCACTAAAATACTGTTTAGACTTAGTTTAAACTTTCAACTTTGGCACATGAATAATTAATTAAAGCTTTCCCTGACCAATGGTTTAATAGTTTTTGCTCGAAACAATCGATTAATGTATCGTGATCGTGTGGAATTCGGGAAAGAGAATTACTTTTTTATTTCAGATTATGATCCGGTGAGTCACAAAATCTGGCAAATTCCGAAATCCGGTATATTCCGGAATCCGGTTGTTCCGGATACATATAAATCCGGCGGAACCGGATTTCACCGGATAGTGCAAAATCCGGCGGAACCGGACTCCGGCACACCCCTAGGTAGTACTACGATACAGTTATGCAAGTGGCTGTGAATGGTTGCCAATGACAACGTGTTGCACACGGTAAATTCTGATCATTTATAATATGGATTCTACCGGGTTGTTACCTTGACTTACCGAAGTATCTACCACTAGTACCAAAATCCGGAATCCGGGAGAAACCGGAATCCCGATTATTCCGGGATCCGGATCCGGCGGATTTCGCATAAGAAGATCCGGATCCGGTTGGAAAAAACGGATCCGGCACACCCCTACTAAGGTATCCTCTGAACGCTGGTTCAAAATTCATGAATAACACTATTTAGTAAATCATGTGGACTTCACTCATCAGAGATCATGTTCAAGCTATTTTTTTTGTTGTTGTTTTTGTGAACGCACCACTGGAAAACACACAAGTAACTTGGAATCTAACCACAGCTTGATCCACTTTGATTCATGGGCGCCCGCAGGGCAGGATTGATTGGATACAAAATTTTTAGACAAAAAATGTATTAAAGTAAAGAGAAAATAAAGAGAAAGTAACTAAGCTGATGTCCGTTCGTTAACCATACAAATACGCTACAGTAAATTAAAACTACATTAAAACATTACCTAGAAAGTTAATCAATTTTTTTTGCCCTCTGCGGGCGCTCATGCTATGATTGTTGATTGAATTTGTTACGGTCGATGCTGGTTGGAAATCCTGAACACATTATAACTGATCATGTACTTCCAGGAAATGTCATTGAAGTCATTGTTACCTATGCATGGCCTGGCTATATTAACATCAATTTATCAGCATGATTAATAGTGCATGCTGAAGATTCGTACGTCCTGTTCACCCAGAAAGCCACACAAAGACTATTGAGGGACTTTGGATGCAGTTCAGTGTAGATTTGCCTGTTTTCAAGCTACTTTTGTGCATTCCAGTGGTCCTATAGCCATAAAGATCATGATTGCAGACAGTATTTAAGTTTGTTTAGTGACAATCATCAAATTTGACCAAGCACTTGGTAAAAAAATTATTTTCTGCCAAACTGCTGATTCGATGCATTTTCCTGGTGTTTTGAATTTGGGATCTGACTTTGAGGATTGCAAATACTAATGATACCGGCATACTAATATTCATTAGGCTGACTAGATTAAGAGCTAAAGGCATAATTTCAAACTCTAAATCACGTAAAATCATGAGTTAATAACAAACTCACTGATTTACCAAAAAATGATAATCTCAAAATCACTCAAATAAAATCAGTGAAAGTCTTTCAAGTTTTATGAGGAAAAAAATTATAAAACAACAAAAAGGTTTTTCAAAGAGATAGCCTTTCTTCATTAAATTTTTTTTTTTTAAAATCTAATCAAATCGAATAAAGCTAAATAAGTGACCAAAAAATATTTATTACCAGTAGTATTCGACAGCGTTGCCACCATTCGTAAATTTACTGACAGTCCATAAAATTTTGACCCAAACTAAAATGACTTGTCTGTAAATATTATTAAGTAGTTGAGGATATCAGTAAAAAAAAAAAATTTTTACGATCATAATTAGGAGAAATTCACCACTGATTAGAATGCTTTAATTAATATTTTAAAATAGCCCCAACCATCATGGTCATATGACAGAATCATACACTTTCAGAACTGAGTCAAACTGGATTCATATTTTTTTAGCTTCATAAGTTTATTTTAAAAAATATATCCATAAAAATGCTGCTTCACCAAAAAGAATCTGCAGATTTAAACATAACTTTTAATCCAATAAAGCCAATCAGCTCTTGCCACCAAATTTTTCGCAAATGTAGTTGCTATCTGAAACTTTAAAATATTTTCTAATGCAGACCAGAACTGCTCAAACCGCTGCTGCGCCTGTTGCCAAAAGTGAGAAAAAGTTGAAGAAATTTGAAATTTACAGATGGGTAAGTTTTGCACTAGATATATTAAATATCGACATTCATCATTTATTAGAAGCAATACAAATAAATTGCTCTTAATAATGTTAGTTAGTATTTAAATTTTATCACAGTTAAATTGCGATACAATTCTTTATTCTAACTTTCGTAGTGACTCTGAAGAAGACACTAGTAGTTGATCTTAATTGTAAGGCAAAAGCATTTTAATACCTGACACATTTTTATCACCTTCACCAGTTAACACTTTTTTTTTTCATAACTAAAAGTTGCTATTTTGTCTCTAATAAGACTATTTTGGGATTAACCCTGATGCATGAACTTTGTCCCCAGAATCCAGACAAGCCTGGTGACAAGCCAAGGGTGCAGACATACCAGGTGGATCTTAATGAGTATGCAAATTAAAGTTCTTAACATACTTTGTTGCAGACTTTATACCTCCAACTTATCATAGGTTTAGCTGTGTAATATTTATATTTTACCCTGAGTTTGCTCTAACCTCTAAATAGTTACAATGTATACAGGTGAACATCCAATCACCATAAACGTTGGTACTGGTACATCCTGAGTCATAAACTGAGTTTAAAATAAACTTACGAAGCTAAAAAAATATGAATCCAGTTTGACTCAGTTCTAAATAAGTGCATTGTATACAGGTGAACATCCAGTCACCTTAACACTATTGAGTACCTATTTTATTTTCTTAATGGGGGGTGTGTGTGTGTGTAATAATCTGGCTCATGAGAAAAAAAGCTGGTGCCTGAATTCATTGTGGTTTTTTTTTCTGTATGCTACGACCAAATTTAATAACCACAGTGATCAAAGACTCAGAAAAATGACCAACATGTAGTTTGCTATTAATTTTGCCATAACTATTTAGATAAACAAGATCATGTTTTTTGTATGAACCTTGTGTTTATACCTTAGTTTAATAATATTTCATTACCCTTACTCTGCAAAGTGTTGTCTAAGTATTCATATATAGCTGAATAGAGAAAAGATAGGATGTCTACACTCTTATTCAAACAATTTAATATCACACATGTTTTATTATAATACATTCTCTGGCCTTGTTGAGCATAGACGTGAGGAATGGTATAAAAGCTATTTGTTGTTACTTTAAATTAAAATCACTGCCAGTCTGAACATTTGACTCCTTTGCCTTTACTAACAGGCGGTTACAGAATCTTTTTTCTTAAGTACTGAGTACATGTTGCTGTTTAAAAAAAATAATACAGGCCTTGGCGGTTACCTAATATTTATATTTTAAACTTTTCAGCTGTGGTCCAATGGTTCTTGATGGCCTCATCAAGATTAAGAATGAGATGGATCAAACCCTGACCTTCAGAAGGTCATGTCGTGAGGGCATCTGTGGGTCATGTGCCATGAACATTGATGGGACTAACACCTTGGCGTGTATCTAGTAAGTTTACTCCTTAGAAGGTGTATCTAGTAAGTTAACTCCATATAAGGTTTATCTAGTAAGTTTATTCCATAAAAATTTGTGTTTTGCTACAAGCTCTCTGGCAATTGAAATTCAAGAAATAGAAGTCATCTAAAAATCATGTGGATCATAAATGTAACTTAAACATAACTTTTAATATAAAAGTGAATCAAGTTTTTTAAGATGTTTTATGTGACCAATATTCTTTGCCAGTTCTGATCTGGATGAGGCCTAGAACTAGTGAAAGCAATTGCATTGTGCTAGACCCTACATCTTGGTCCCCATTTTTTAATGAAATATTTGCTTGCTACTTAGATTTTGTTCGATAATGCCTGTTCATCTCACAGGCCTACTCTGATGTCAATAACTATTTGTCATTTCAGCAAGATCAATGACAGCCCAAGCAAGCCTGTCAAGGTTTACCCTCTTCCTCACATGTATGTTGTAAAGGATCTGGTACCTGTAAGTTTTAGTTTTTCTGCTAAACATTTGTTAACTGAAACAAGCTCCACATTAAATCCTAATCTATACATTCTTTTTAAAAAAAATGTTTATGTATAACTGTTGAGAAAATGTCATTGATTTCCAAAGGACATGAGCAACTTCTATGCCCAATACCGTTCTATTGAACCATACCTCAAGAAGAAGGACGTGAAGGAGTCTGATATTGGAAAGCAGTCTTACTTGCAGTCAGTGGAAGATAGAGCGAAACTGGTATGTTTTTCAAACTTGTTTTCTAGGGAAAAACATCTGTATGGTGCATTTTACATGTTAACTCATGTCATAACTTGTGAAGTTATTTTTTTTTAAAATGAGAAGAAAAGTCTTGAGGCTGCTATTTAAATTTTGGGAACCATTTAGAATATTCTGCCTAGTTTGAGAAGCATTATTTCAAACAATTAACTGTTGGTTATAATTTCAATCAACTGAGATTTCTATTTAGCATTGTCAAGATAAAAGCTGGCAAAGAAATTCATGCTCTCACTGCCAGTGTATTAAACTGTTGAGCAGCTCCTCCCTACAGTGGAATGTTCATTATTTAAAGAAAGTTGTTGACAGTATGCCTTTGTACCAATAGGATGGCCTCTATGAGTGCATCTTGTGTGCTTGCTGCAGCACATCCTGCCCAAGTTACTGGTGGAACTCAGACAAGTACCTGGGACCAGCTGTCCTTATGCAGGCCTACAGGTAGCTAGCTCATTATTACTTGAAGACTTGCTTTTTAGATCTAATTTTCAAATCCCTGTCTTCTACAGTTAACTTTTTAAAATAATAATTTTATTGTTAAGTAATTATTTTAATATTTTTTGGTTATTTCTGATCAATTATCAAATTTTTAAAGAATTTAAAGGGTTTTAATTTTATTACATTGCTGCTGCTGAATGACAGATGGATGATAGACTCCAGGGATGATTTCACAGAGGAGCGTCTTGCCTTGATGGAAGATGGCTACTCTGTGTACAGATGTCACACCATCATGAATTGTACCAAAACGTGCCCTAAGGTGGGTTCACTGTTCTAACTTAGGCTGAAAGTTAGTTTTATTAGAATAAAACAGCAATATATTTTATAGCTTTATATATTTTATATTTTATATATTATAGCTGGCTGATTGTAAGCTAAATGAATTTTTTACCTTGATTTGTTTACTTTTAGGAGGCAAGGGAAGTAACGAAGATGAGAATTGTTAGGTTTTAAATATTTTTTATAGCCATTTACCTTTCCTTACATACTTATTGGGCTAGGTGTTTTTAATATTGAGATAAAGTTAAAGAGAAATCAAACTTATGCTGGAGTATGTTTACCTCTTTATAGAGTTTTCATAATTTTAGTCATATCAAATTGTTTACAAAAAAATATAGATAGTAATCAAAATAGTTGATATGGTTATGATACACTTTAATTTTAATATGTAATCTCATATATATATATTTTGCTTGTGGTGTGTCCTGCTTCCTTTTCACAAGTAGCCCCTTCCACAACAACATGTTTTATATTAATAGTATCAGGGTTGGGGGGGGGGTGGGGGAGATCTGTGTCACAGGGAGCATCATGTGTGGTGGTTGAACTCATGTAAAAATGTAGATTTTTTTCTTGTGTGGTGGGACTATTATATTAATAAATAAAGAGCTTGAGGTCTGGTGTAAGACAGTCTGTAGGACTATTATTTAAAGACCGTCAGGTAGGGTGTAGGACATTTGTTTAAAGACAATGAGACGTTAACTCTTTTTTTATTTATAACACTTGGACCCACCCAAACAGTAAAAAACGGCACCCGATTAAGCCCTAGTAAATTTTGTTTAGTAATAAGTAATAAATATTATTTTCCTGCAAGAATAACTTCACTTAAGTGATGTTTGGTTTTGGCAAACATATGAGGCTCTTTGTGATAGATTTCAACATGAATGAGTGTTATTTAGCTTGTATGATTGAAGTTTAACCTGGATAATTGATGTTTGATGACTGGTTGTATATTGTTTTTATCCAGGGACTTAACCCAGGCAGAGCTATTGGTGAAATCAAGAAACTCATGATGTCCTACAATAAACAGAAGGCCGCCCATTGATGACTGAGAAGACTTCGAGTCATTCACTAACAGGAAACTCGGCCCCTTCTCGCGTGGGCGTGTATAATTTCTGTAGATTAAAATGTGAATCAGTTTATTGAGGATAGACTTTGTTAACACGATGTAAGATTTGTTTAACCATAGAGATATTTTAAATGGAACCGCTGATGTTGCAAAACATCTTTGTTTGCTTGTTGTCATGTGATCTGTCAACACTTAGTTGTGATGTCATTTATGGGGGGGGAGGGCTGACAGTCAATGCTTAGGTTTACTGTCAATTTGTTTGCTTGGTGGGGTGGGGGTGGGGGTGTTAGTCTGCCAATGCTCAACTCTAAGCAATCTCTCGTGTACATAAGAATCAAAGACAACAACAAAGTGTCAATGGAACCAAGAGATTATTTTAAAATGATCAATGTTCCATTTATTTTTTTTTATGACTTTGGGTTAGGGTGGGTAAAATCCAAATGTTTTTAGTGAAGAAAAGATCTCATCATAGGTAGAGTGGAACTTGTATCAGAAGACAAGCGGGATAATTTAAGTTAGAAGCTCCAACAGACTGCATCAGGTTTGGATTTGAAACTTTAAAGATGATATGCAATTTTTTTGTTTATGTTGCACTTTTTTAATTAAAAGATTGTAAAAAAATAACCTTCTTTTTTGTGTCACCGCAATGTTTGATTGTATATTCATTATTTAAGGAAATAAAAAGATATGTGATAAAGTAATGTCTTTTGGATTCTTTCGGTAAGGAAGCGGTCATAAGAATGGCATTAGGACCAAACAGAAAGGACTTTGTTGATACATTTTATAAGAGGGAATGTTTTATCATGGATTTATTGACCACTCTAAAAGTGACTGAGCATTTTAATTTCATCACAATACAGCCTCTTTGTGAAATTTCTCTTTTCTTGCACACAGGGTATATCCAATTTTGTTTCGCCGATTCTTTTAGAACTTAACAAATTGTTAAAATTAATTAGGTTTAAGAGTGCAGAAAGTGTTGAAGAGCATATGAAGTCTCTATAGGATGAAAAGGTTGTAAGAGGGGGGGGGGGGTTTAAACTGTAAACCCCAGAAATAATTAAAATATCTCAATAATATTTTGCTCCCTCTTCAAAACGGGTCCTTTCACGTTTTATATTAATAGTATTGAGTGAAGGGAAAAGGCTGTCACGCAGAGAGCTTCATGCCTGGCGGTTGAACTTTGGTCAATAGGTTGTTATTATTTTCTTTAAGTAGTTTAAGGGAAAGACGACTGCTATATTAATCAATAAGGAGCCGCTTGTATAGTGTAGTACTGTCTATATGATTTCTGTTTGAAGGCCGGCAGGTAGGGTGTAGGACTGTCTGTAGGCCTGCTGGTTAAAGCGGGCAAGTAGGGTGTAGGAATATTGTTTAAAAGGCCGTAAGGTGTAGGGCTGTCTGTTGGTCTACTGTTTAAAGGATGGCATATATTTTTCAAACAAATAATGAACAATAATATTGTTGCTCTTAACTTGTATTTGGACAGTACGGACCATCAGCCTACCGACGACGTTCATCTTCTTGTAGATCTCGCCTTCAGATCAGCAAATCTTTTGATTGCACTTTCTATATTTATATCCTCTGCATATCATTTTCTCTACACAAAATTGCCCAAGAATTCTGACTTGAATCATGGATGATCGTAAATGTTTTTGTATAAGCTTTTGCTCATTAAAGCTTATCACACCAGTGGCAACAGTAATAGTTATTGTAAAGATCATTCTTAATGCTAGCCACGGAGTTGGCATGACAACTGGAACTTACAGGCCCGTTTTTAGGCATACGCTGACTACGCATCCACGTAGGGCCCCGAACGTGAGGGGGGGGGGCCCATGAGGCGCCCTCGATCCCCCGCTTTTTTTTTTAAACTGGCCCTGCAGCCGTCTGTGTCACTGTCGTTACCTTCCTCATCCTGAAATTTATCATTATGAGTTAAATTCGGAGGCAGGGGAAGGGAAGTAGCAGGGGAAGGGAGCTTTGGGGTGGCAGACAGGAAATCGGGGGCTTGGCCGTGGGAATGGGAAAGTATAAATAGCGATCGGTTAGTCTGGTTAAACCAGATTAACCAAATTAAATATACGGTTAGTGATTACGCGCGAGCAAAGAGGAAACATTGATGAAGGCAGAAAGGAGGTGCCGCAGTGGTGGGTGGTGTTCTCTCCTCAGCTCGAGGGAGATCCACCCCCGGACCCCCCTTCCAGGGCCCCCAACCTACGCTCCATGCTTAGGGCCCCCAAACTCCAAAGAACGGCTCTGGAGCTTACTAGTGTTTATGAATTTAGCATCTTCTATGAGAAGCAGTGTTTCTTGCAGACAATATCCTCCGGAAGTGGGGGGGGGGCTTTCTGAATTATCGGGTTTCGCAGTTCCAGTGGCGTAGAAAGGGGAGCAGAGAGGGGTGTCCACCCTGTGTCACTTTTTTCCTTATATGGAGGGGTGCCATTCTTCAGACAACAGCAGAGTTTGTATTGTTGAAAGTTTGTCCCATGGCGCCCACATGTAATGGTTTTTCCTATTTTGGAAGATCGCAACTGCTCTAATTTCCGGTACCTTGAGCCTGCACGGGCGACCACTTTACTGTACTCCAATGCAGTCAGTAATTTTGTGTTAAAAATGGCTGGTAATATGAAGATAAAAAAAAATACTTGAAAATGAACACAACACTTTTATATAAGGGAAGTGGCTCTGCTCATTTTTCAAGGGTTATCATTCTCATCAGAGCCGTGGCGTGGAACCTGCAACGCCTGCGGATGCAGAAGGCGTCGGATATTTAAGGAGCGCAAAGTTTGAATGCGTCTCAACTGCTATCTTTTCATAGTAGGCATACTGGTATCTTTTCATAGTAGGCATACTGCTATCTTTTCATAGTAGGCATACTGGTATCTTTTCATAGTAGGCATACTGGTATCTTTTCATAGTAGGCATACTGGTATCTTTTCATAGTAGGCATACTGCTATCTTTTCATAGTAGGCATACTGGTATCTTTTCATAGTAGGCATACTGCTATCTTTTCATAGTAGGTATACTGCTATCCTTTCATGGTAGGCATACTGGTATCTTTTCATGGTAGGCATACTGCTATCCTTTCATGGTAGGCATACTGGTATCTTTTCATGGTAGGCATACTGGTACCTTTTCACAGTGGGCATACTGGTATCTTTTCATGGTAGGCATACTGGTATCTTTTCATAGTAGCCATACTGCTATCTTTTCATAGTAGGCATACTGGTATCTTTTCATAGTAGGCATACTGCTATCTTTTCATGGTAGGCATACTGCTATCTTTTCATAGTAGGCATGCTGGTATCTTTTCATAGTAGGCATACTGGTATCTTTTCATAGTAGGCATGCTGCTATCCTTTCATGGTAGGCATACTGATATCTTTTCATGGTAGGCATACTGGTATCTTTTCATAGTAGGCATACTGCTATCTTTTCATGGTAGGCATACTGATATCTTTTCATAGTAGGCATGCTGGTATCTTTTCATAGTAGGCATGCTGGTATCTTTTCATAGTAGGCATACTGCTATCTTTTCATGGTAGGCATGCTGGTATCTTTTCATGGTAGGCATACTGGTATCTTTTCATAGTAGGCATACTGCTATCTTTTCATGGTAGGCATACTGATATCTTTTCATAGTAGGCATGCTGGTATCTTTTCATAGTAGGCATGCTGGTATCTTTTCATAGTAGGCATACTGCTATCTTTTCATGGTAGGCATGCTGGTATCTTTTCATAGTAGGCATACTGCTATCTTTTCATGGTAGGCATGCTGGTATCTTTTCATAGTAGGCATACTGCTATCTTTTCATGGTAGGCATGCTGGTATCTTTTCATAGTAGGCATAGTGCTATCTTTTCATAGTAGGCATGCTGGTATCTTTTCATAGTAGGCATACTGCTATCTTTTCATGGTAGGCATGCTGGTATCTTTTCATAGTAGGCATAGTGCTATCTTTTCACCGTAGTAGGCATACTGATATTTCAATCAATAGACGAACACCCATGAGCCACGAAAAGATAATGTTAGAGAAAATCTGGTCGAGACTCGAGAGAGAGGGGAGAGTGATTGTTTTTCTTCTTCAAATGCTAGAAAGAAGAACATGCCATTTCTCGGAGCAGTGGTTCTCAACCTTCCTAATGCCGCGACCCTTTTATACAGTTCCTCATTTTGTTGTGACCGCCACCCATAAAATTATTTTCGTTGCTACTTCCGATGATCTTAGGCGACCCCTGTGTAAGGGTCGTTCGAGCCCCAAAGTGGTCGCGGCCCACAGGTTGAGAACCGCTGTCTTAGAGCTAGTTTTTTTTTTTTTTTTTTTGTGTGTGTGTGTTTTCATTTTATGTTTTTC